TATATTGAAGAGACTAAAAACAGAAATTAACAGTTTTTGGAATGTTAAAGATTTTTAGATTGAAAATTTTTCTTTGATTTTTCTTTGAGACCGCTGTATCTCGCTCGATGAGTGGATTTGACCATATCCTTAGTCAAAACTGCAGGATTATTGAAGTTTGAACACCGCAACGTGACCCTAAACAAATATGATCAACAAATTAAACAACATTTCTTCGTGCTTACTAAGATAATTACAAATGTTAGTTTATTCTTTTCTGTTCTAAGCTGCACTTATGCTAATGAACTGCATTTAACAGAAATGATCAGAAATGAACAACTTCAGCAAAACTTTAGGTTTAATAACTAACTGAACGCAGCACTAAGCGTTTGCTTATAACAACTAAGCGGAACTCAAAAAATGAAGCTTGCAATAGTAAAATTTAAATAAATCTCCAATAATTATAATATCTAATAGACACTTTTCAGGCATTGTTGGTTTCGCTTATTTCCCAACTCCACTTTGTGGACGTCAAAGGTAGTGTGATAAGCCATCCAGCAACTACTGTAATTGGCGGCATCTCTTTACAACCTATATCTCTTATTTCTGTCAGCAAACCTGACGACGATGGCAGCTGGAAAGATAGTGTTGAAGATGCTGATGATGGCTCTTACAAGCCGCAGCCCGGTAATGAAGGCGAATGGATTGATGATGTAACAGCTGAAAATTCAAAAAAGCACAGCGCTTCTGGTAATATAAAATTGCTCATGTCTTTATTTTTTTTTAAATCATTAGTTAACAAAAAATATATTAACATTATCAGTGAATTCTGTAAGATTAACGTCAATTTGGAATGATGCTAAAATTTCAACTTTGCCCAACCTTCAGCCTATAAATAAGCAAATAGTCGCTCCGGCAATTGTTACTCAACACAGCCCACCTTTAATTTCTACTGGTAATTATTAAAATATCCTTACATTCGATTTTTGAATTATTTACCGTTGATTATATATTAGTTGGTACTGCTCTTCTGAAAAATGATGGCGTAGCAGATGGAACATATGCACAAATACCTATAATATCAAATGCAAAGGATGCATTACACACGGATGTTAGTTCCACAGTTGTAGCAAGTAGAATTGCTACTATTGGTCCAAATGCAGTCAATGGTTTACAAAGCAATAATCATGTGATTAACCAAGTAAATTCTGAATTAATTACCAACAATCCGTTGGATATATCCAAAGGTGTATACAACAATCAAGTTGTAGCGAAAAATATTGGTACTGGCATAAATCCAAATACTTTGGTAGCCAAGTCTGTTATTACGCAACCAACTAATTTATTCACGAATAAGCTAGAAACAGCTGCTGTGTCTTCAAATATTGCAACACAACCCATATCTTTACTCGCTAACCAGTTGATTCAAAAAAATATCGCCTCAGCTTCATCTTTGGTTGGAAACCAACCTACTGTTTTACTTACCAACCAACCGAGTACAAAAGGCATCATCAGTGCCGTCAGTCCTAACGCTATTGCAGTCCCCAATGATGCTATAAGTCAGCAAGAAATCTTGAATTCCAACATATTAGCTCAACAAGGACTAGATACTCACTTAGATTCACGTGGACTCATCACTGTGAACGGTAATATTAACAATGAACAAAAATCAATTATCGCTGAAGCTGCAATAAGCCAACCCAATTCATGGATTCCGAATCACTTACCTACACAGAGTCTCAATGCACCTCTCGAACAAAACCCTGCTTTAATTTCTAATGGAGCCATACGTGAATTAAGTGATTGGGATCCTAATCAATTAGCAACTCAAAGCATTAGTGCTCCTCTTAATCAAAACAATGCTTTTATTACAAAAGCAGCGTCCATACCATCAAGTGCTTTGCTTAGTAACCAATTAGTTCAACAAAGCATCAATACAATAAGAGATCCAAACCAAGCAATCGCTGTCAATGACGTACAGAATGCTAATGCACACATCGCTAATATAGATGCTAGTCAAACAGGCACTTTAGTCCAATCAAGCAGTTTAGTTTCTAACGGAAACTTAGAGCAACCAAGTGCTTTAACTACTAACCAATTACCTTTACAAGATATCAATGGTGCTATCAATCCTAATGTTGTATTGATTAGACAGCAACCAAATTCTTGGACTCCCAATGAATTACTTCAACAAGCTATTCCTGTAGCCATTAATCAGAATCGTCCTGCGGTCGTTGATGGTAATATTGTAAATGCACAAAATACTTTAGTTGCTAATAGCGATAATGTCCATAATGTCCCCAATAATCCGAATATTATTCACAGCCAACCAAATGCTTGGGTTTCCAATCAATTCGCTGCTCAAGCTATCAATTCAGAAGATGAGACTAGCCCTAGCTCACAAAATACTTTAGTTGCTAACGGCGCTAATGTCGATAATGTCTCCAATAATCCGAATATTATTCAAAGCCAACCCAATGCTTGGATTTCCAACCAATTCGCTGCTCAAGGTATTAATTCTCCTCTGGATCGAAATAGTGGCTTAATTGCAAACATTGCTCCTACTGAACTAAATGGTCTTGTCCCTAATCAATTAATTGAGCAAGGCACTGCAGCAGCCGCTGATTTAAATCCTGTTACTTCAGAAGATGGCAGCATCCCTAACTCACAAAATACTTTAATTGCAAATGTTAATTTGAATCAACAAAATCAATTGCTTGCAAACCAATTGATTAATCAAAATATTAATCCAGACATAGCAACTGTTGCTGATGTCAGAGATCGAAATGCAGTAAGTGCTGATAATGGTGCAAGTCAACAAGGCGGATGGCTTTCTGACCAATTACAGGAACAACGTTTACTAATTGGCGAAGTACCACAACAAAATACTTGGGAAAATAGTCAATTAACAAGAGATGATGTTAATGGAGCGGTAGATGAAAGTCAAAATTTACAAGTTGGCGGAGCTAATAATCCTGAAGTAGCTAATGTTCAAGAACAAAATAATGGTATTGGAGTAGTAGCTAATGATGTTCCATGGTCTAATGAATGGAATAGTTTAATCGATTTAAATAGCCGTCGTTTAGCAGGTAGTGGTGTAGAAATTGGAAGAACAACAAGTTTAAATGAATTCGGAATGCTAAGAGAAACAGGTGATGTAGGTGGTACGGGTGGTGCGGGTGGTCAAGGTGGACCAGGTGGAGCAGGGGATATAGGAGGTGTAGGAGGTGCTGATGGTGAAACTGGTGCTGATGGTGAATCAGGTTCCAGAGTGGTTAGAACCTCCTCGCTTTGGAGTAGAGATAATTTGTTACAATTGGCTCAGAATACTAAAAGTCAATTTCGTGGACCCATCGTGTAAGTAAAATATTACAAAATATCTACAGAAGTTTTTTTAAATTTGAAATTGATCATTTTTTTAGTGTGGCATAAAAATAATAGTACTCTGGACGTTGGATCTTTATTCCTATAAACTGTGTTGTTTTAATATTTTTCATTAAGTTATATTAAATTTTCAATATGTATTAACGAATTCAAAATATATATATAAAATAGAAATAAAAGTTCTAAACTCGTAAATTCTAGTATTTAATTTGAAGAGAGTACATACAATAACTATATCAAATTAAATTGAATATTTTACGCACAACTCTGAACTTTATAGCAAATACTAAAAAAATATGCATAACACCACAAATCACTATAGGTCGCTTCCCTTCACAAAGCTAATTGGAAGTTAGATACAATTCAAGCTATTACAGAATCTATCGAAAATGTTTTAGAGCTAATCACAATAAAAATCTAAAATTTTCACAGCATAACATTTATACCATAAAAAATCGTTTGTAAAGGCTAAACCAAATGTTTTCGGAAATGTCTAAATAATTATGAATAAGCTCTCTAAAAGCAGACTAAAAAACATTTAAGACTATATAGAACTCTATAAAACTCACGACCAGAATCTGTCATGCCGTGACATTATATCGCACTAATTTTATGAATTAATCTGCCTGTTAATATTTAGACTGCTTAACTCAAATATCTGGGAAAATAATAATCTTTTTTAAAAACGTTAAAAATGATTTTACTACCAAACTAATAAGAGTTATTGTTAGGGACTATGAACTTAGATTAGCCATTTGAAAAACTTTCATACTTATCTAAGAGATTAAGAGGATGTAATGAAGCAAAATAAAGGAACTTTTTATATTACGGAAAACGCTCTTGAAGTAGGCATTACCGAGAAGAAATAAATATTACATGTCTTACTCACTTACTTCCTCCTGGTGAAGCATTGGACCTCCACTAGGAGAAAAACTTAACTAGAACATCTGACTTGTAACTTAAGAAATATAATTTAAAATAAAGACCTTAAATATTTTATATTTTGTGCAATTTCAAAAGAATAGAAATAAAATTTAAAAAAAAAAAATATACCACTTTATACCTCTCTGTACCTCTACTTTAACATATTTTTAACATAAAGAAATGTTTTCTGCTGTGATATAATAATGTTAACATAAGTTTTGGCATTCGCAAATACAGTTTATTCTTGTATATGTACCGGCAAGATCTATATGAGATCTTTAAAGAACTAGCACCGATTTTTTATTGCATATTTGTAGGCTGTTAGATTTTATTTTTTATATATGAATTGGCTTAAAATTCAATTTTTCTTTTTGGACTAGAGAATGTTTAAGCAAAGTTTCCCTATTAAAGTAATAAAGATACCAAAAACAGAAAAGAATAAAATTTAGCTGAATAATATTATTATAAGAAAAGTATTGTCTTACTATGTTGTAGCGTAGCCGATCTGAAAGAAGAACAAAAAACATAGAAAAATCTTTACAACATTTCTAGAAACCTTCGAATAAATCGTAAAAATTTTCATTGACCTTCATAGATAATGTTACAAATTAATACATTTAGCTCATGGGCGGCACAATCGCATGGTTCACTGACACTCGCTTGCGGAGGAAGATGCCGAAGGGGACAAACTCGAGTAGGTAAGAAGCATTGGGAAGCACTGGTTCTTTTCAATATTGAACAAAAATACCAGGAAAAAAATATCGCGATACTGGCAGACCGTCAATCAAGGCAGTCAAGGCAGTAAACACGCATCAGGTAACTTTAAGACTAGTTCAAGAATTCCTTAAAAAGCTAAAGTTTGATTCTCGACGAATCAAAACAGAGATATACATATATGCTACTATAGCACATACTGCTACTGTTATATTATTTTCACTGATCGAATAGACAATATTAAAATACAAATATTTACAATCTCTGTGGTATCTTTGTATGTACACAAAATGTCAACAGAAAGAGATATATCATATGATATGATATTATGTTTACTACTCACATATAAATAGTCAAATGCATACCAATAGGATTAAATGCAGATATTGTGACAGTATATTTTATCTTATCGATACTAAATATATATTGCACTAGTCATATCCGCAAAAATATTATAATTTACACTTAATATCATTCCATATGGCTCTATTCGATATTGGAAGCTGCGTCCACGATGAATTTAATTACTTCTGAGCATTGCGCTCATTACTGCACTACATTTGATTAAATCTATAGAGCAATTATTGCCTCAGATAGACTCAAAAGCAAATCAATCTGCATATTTCATAGACTTTACTTCAGTCCAACTTTGAGTTGGACATCTGCTGCTATACTTGCATCTTATTTTCACTTTGCTTAATAGTTTTTGTATTTCTCACATGCATATCACATAAAACGTGTATTTCTATGAGTCTATGCTTACGTCTGCATAAATATATGAAAATATAATCACTGTAATAATATAATTAAATGTGCTTAAATTCATTGTTTCAATATATTTTATACTATCAGCAATCAAGATCTACAATAAAATACATTATTGTAATATTTGGCCATACTACTGCTTTAACACTCTTTACACAAACTCTTTACATACATTATGCAAAATCAGACTCTAGAAGTCTTTTATAATTCCCATCCTGACGGTGGATGTCGAGTCTTGTACAACCAGAGAACACCTTTGCTGCTTTTGTGGTAACTTTTGTTGATGGTTGACGATGGTTTCAAGTAAGCGTTTTATCAAGAATTGCAGTCATACAGTTCGCACCATTTAATACTAATTGGTATATATATAACTTAGACAATTGTTCGGATTTTTTCTCTACCTTTAGAATGATACAAAATTGTTTTCCACATTATTTTAATATGATGCACGTTTGCAGATACAAATTACTAAACAAGTATTCATTAAAGTATATCATTAAATCATTTGTATTTGTTTTACTACTTACTCCGATCACGAATATAACATAACCCTGTCCGAAGACAGGACCTCAACTCTTTGAATAAAAATCACAATATTACCTGCTGCGGATTTCTTAATATCAGATAGATAAAGCCGATCTGGAACTAATATTCTTTTCCTGACACAGATTGTACCAATCAGTCTCATCTGTTTTCAAACTGAGTCAAAAATGTATTTTCTTGTTGTCTTACTATTCCATATTGTCACAGGTCTATTATAAAAGCTCAAACCATATTGAGATGAAGATTAATTACTATTCGAACTGTGTTGTGATTAATAATACTTATGATAAAAAATAAGAAACCAATACCTAATATGTTTTCTTCTTATTCTGTTACAAATATATTAATTAACTTAATATATTTATTCATGTCATGTATAAAGGGTGTGAATAAAAAATTTTTTTCAAAGAAAGTTATAGCACATGTAAGAATTAAATACCAAATAATCGAATCCAGTTTTCAACTTCAATGGAGCAATAATTGCTCTATTAAAAGTAAAGTTGTTTTGAGTAAATTATTATGTAATTCATTTGGTAATTTAATTTTATTATTAAGAAATGGATTTTTAAAAATTTAAAGTGAACTATGTGTTTAATTACTTTTAAAAATAAGAGACTTGAAAAAGACCGTTTAAAATTGAACTAAGTTAAAAATGTTTATATTTATTAGCATAAATTCATACGTATTCAAAGAATAATTTATTAACTTATATGAATTCTATTTACTATATAATGATATCAGAATTGTGATTATCAATAACATTGAAGATATTCTATAATGTGATGCGATACTTTTTACAATCTGTCTCGATTGATACAAGGCAGTACTGGCATAATGAAAAGCAATAAAATTTTGTGGCTCAGCATTTTCCAAAATATTGCTTCCCTTGAAACAATATTGCAGTAGATCATCTCCTAGCCTCAAGTGTAAACTCATGCAACGCATATAACTATATGGGGCTACAACGGGCCTTATACGCTTATAACTGATGCATTCATAGTGGTCCGTGTCAATAACTTGAAGGGACGCACAAATATGCAACCCGCTTGCTTTAAAAGTAACGAAATATGAATTTTGGTCACTTTTAAATCTGAATACGGAATAAGTTTCACTCGTATTGACCAATTCATCCTTGTATATATTTGAGATATATTTTGGATATTGTTCGGTGCAAATACGCTCCATAACCGTTGTCTCCAATATTTTACAACTTGGAGATAATCGATCACCAGATATACCGATATAGCAAAACATCGTCATAATTGAAGTCACTAAAGCTTTTTGTGTTGAACAAATAAACATTATTAAATACTATTCAACTATTATTTTATTTCAGTTCAATATTGCTTTTTAATAACTAATTTTTTTTAAATTAAATTTTTTCAATAACAGTTTATGTCAAAAATAAGGATACCAGTTTTTATTAAAGTTTATTTGAGTATACTTTTTAATAATAATATATATCGGCATTTTTACATATCGCAATTGGAATCCATTCCAATCATCTTAATGTTGCTCCGTCGCTGTAAAAAGTTATTGGTAGTTAATGGTAGGATGAGGTTAAACTTCATACCTTAATGAAATGCTGACTTCTAAGTCTTTGCTACTTTAATTCGTTCCAAATTACCTTTTTATCTCATGGAATTATTGATCATATTTTGGGTTGAAAGATCTTCCATAAGTCAACATTGTGGTTGACCCAATTCACGCTAATTCTAATTTTGACAACTTCTGCATTTATATTCAGTAAAAGACATCAATTATTTGTGTTCAAATTCTTTGATTGTATATTTATTTTATTACAGTATCATTTCGTATTTAATATCATATTCAAGCATTCGTAATTAGGGAGAGTCTTCGGTTCGCTATCGTTAATTGTTGGTCCATGTGATGGTTCAGCAGTGAGGAAAATGAAACTCAAATAGTTAAGAAGTACTTAGTTTATAGATTCAATAACAGACGAATTAGATAACAGATATCAAAGAGCATTAAATGGATATAGAATAAAGACAGAAAAAGTTGATTGAAGAAATAGATCACTTCAAATTGGATGAATCAAAAAGTATGATTAAGTCAAGGGAGAAATAAGAGCATATAAAATATGTATCACAATAGTATTTTAAGTATAAATTGACAGTGTTTAAAATAGTTATATGTTAAAATGGCGAATGGTGTATTAATAGAATTCATATTGAAACTTAGATGTAGCTCACTACTTGTCCACATAAAGCTGTTTGTATTTGTTATCGATCGAGTTTACTTAATAATGATGACCCGCACCATGGCTAGCTGCAGCCAAGGCACTTAAGTGAGCTGCACGAGCATGTTGGACTTCTGCAGGTTCAACTGGTACACCATTATGAATAACTGGAATATGTATTGGTCCTTTATGGCCACCGTCATAATGGCCACCACCATAATTGCCACCGTCGTAATGACCACCACCATAATTGCCACCATCATAATGACCACCATCCCATCGTCCGTCATAGTGCCCATCGTCATGACCGCTTGGTCCAGCTCTTGCTGAAGCTTCAGCTAGTGCTGTATAATGAGAGGCCTTGGCATGTTGTACTTCTGGAGTTTCAACTGGTACACCATTATGTATAACAGGAATATGATAACCATGAGCATGCACAGCAGGAGCAATCGAATGAGTGGAATGTGAAGCATGAGAATAAGCACCCAAAGCTTTAGCGTGTGCGGCATAATGTTCGGCTTTTGCAGCTTGTACATCAGGTGTATCGATGGGAACACCACCGTGTGTAAGAGGTACGTGTCCGAGAGATTGATGAGCATAAGCCCAATTGCCACCATATAAAGAACGTTTGTATAGATGATGACCGGGATAATGTGCAGCGGCAGCTGCTGCAGCATGGGCTGCAGCGTGTTCAGCTTTAGCATGTTGAACTTCTGGTGTATCCACTGGTACGCCACCGTGAGTTAAAACTACGGGATGACCAATTGAAGCATGAGAGTATGGCACATAGGCATGAGCTGCCGCTTGATGAGCAACAGCAATAGGTGATGGAGCCTCTGGTAGATTTGTGCCAACTGCCTTAAATCCAGTGTGTGGATCAGCTGTATATGATAGTGATTGAAGGTGACCATGACCATCTACATAGGAATAGGAGCCACGTGTGACCCCATCATGTGATCGAGATTCATGTTTTTGCGAATTTGGATCGGAATAACCATAAGAATATGTATGACTATGTGGGTCCAAATGTTGAAATTGTGTGGAGACAGCACCGTATGGATAGGCTGAACACGTTGCAACAAGCAGCGCAGCTAAAATGAACTGTAAGTGAAAAAAATATTTATAAAAAAATGTAGTTACTCTTAGTTTCATTATGTTATAGGCGCAAATAACATAAATATTTTATAATATCTCAAATTTTCTTTGCTTAAAATGGTATTTTAAATTAATTAAACTAATATCTAATAACCTTGCAAAATTTCTGTTGTTAATAATTAATAATATTGCTCCTTAATACAATTTTTTCATAAGTCAAGTTGCGTTTACTTCAATCAAAACTATAACCAGTTAAAGTCATTCAACCGCAAATCTATAGAAACTACAATATTTTTCATTTATTTTTACATTTAATTTGGTTTACTAAGTGATTAAAATAATTAAATTTCTTAAGTTGATTGTATATATAATTGCCTCATTGCTTTACGTTTTACATAATATTCGATTAATATTCCATTTAATATTTGGAAAGATATATTGCAAACAATTCATTACAAATCAGTTTAATGAATAATCTAATAGTGTTAAATGACTGTGTTAAATGACGCACAAAATATTTATACTAATACTGCTACGATATGAATATACATATTACAAATTGTTATTATCATGACAACTCTAATAGTGCATTTTCGTCTAAGTATGTCCCTATAGAAATGGCTCCTATTTGACTTGAATAGAGGTTAAAGCTTACCACACCCCCTAGCTTAATTTTTGAACACTTTTGTCGCCTTATGAAGAGAATACAGTTTACCGGTTACAGAATGTTAAAAAGGATCAATTTAACTATATAACTAACATTGAAAGCATTAATTTTTTTTTGCAATAATATCGTGTATCTCACACTTACAGTTCGAAGTGTGAACTAAATCTATCACCAAACGATATTATTAAAAAAAATTTAATAGAAAAGATAAATTCAGTTACAATATATATATGTCAAAAATGTATGATACTTTTACTTAAATTTTAGTTCGCTTTCAAATGCATTAATTTCTTTTCAAATATTTGATATAATCTATTGTATAATGATTTATATTAGGAATTCTATGCTACTAGTAATAATTTATATATTTATTATATTGTCACATCTCTTTTTTAATTTTATTATTTATTTTTTATTATATATATTTAAATTAACACAATTTAATTCATTAGTCCTCTGCCTTAATTGACATACTGGAAAAGTTATGCGTATTTTAAATAAGCATAACTATTTTAAATAATATAAATATTTTATATTAATATTTATAGTATTATTTTACACTCCTTAAAAGATTTTTTTTGAAATGTTTGAATTTACTAACACTGACAGATTGCGAGTTTTTGCTTAGATATGCACAATTTAAAGTTTTAATATTTTTAACAGTAATTTGAATCTCAGAAAAGGACACTGTTAAATTTGAACACAATGTAAATTCTTAGTCTTACTTACAAATGGTTTCATTTTAAAAATCACAATAGAGTTAAGGACGTTAAATTACGAATATATCACGAAAATTTTTATTATTTTATTTATTTATATTTTAACGCGATTCTCTAAATAAAAAACTGCTAGCACTGTTACTGTTTTAACCTCCTAGAATCGCGACTAGGACTGTTAACAAACTGTGCTTGCTTACTGCGATGTAGTCCAATATATATGCTGAGCTTGGCACTACAGAAATACTCATATACTAGCACAGTGAACAGTAATAACAATATCAATAATAAACAAAAAATTAAACTGCTGCAGAAACTAACAACAATACTAACACACACACAATTATAAATGTAAACAAATAAATAAAGAAACTGTAAAAAACATTGGACTTAGCAGAACAACGTAAAGAAATTGGAATTACTTACGTTATTGGTATCGTATCGTAAGTGCTTTGTGGTGTTAATCTAGTTTAAGCCAAGAATAATGAATGAAACATTCACCACATACATATACCTGCAAGATGTATTGCTGTGTGTGTTGCGTTTGCTTAAAAGCAATGGCAACAACAATAGCGGCGGCAACATGTTTCTGATGCTGAGAAGGTGTTTCAGCTTACAAAAATAATTGAATTACTTTGCTTTAATTGACTGTAATATGTTTTAGCTCTTAAATACATTGATTTTGCAATTAATTATTTAACAAAAAATATTCTTTTAACTGTTACTAGTCATATAGTCATATCCTGATGTGTCTGTATCTTCATATTCGTACTAATTTGATAGAAAAATGTTTCGCATGTTAAAAAATGTTGCAAACTGCAAGAGGCATGGAGTTGGCATTGGTTATGGTTATTGCATTAAATGCAATAGAGTATGTGCATTTACAAATACTTTTTTTATTTATATATTGCAAAAAAATAAAACAAAACAAATATTACTTGTAAATGAGAAGAAATTTGTCCAGTGTAGTTTAAGCTAAAAAGATTTTAATTAATAAATCCTTACTGGTATTTTGTCAAGTTTTCCATTAAGCTAATGAGTTACGTGTTAATGTTAGTAATGTTAGTAATGTTTGTAATGTTGCAGCAACTGTTGCACAGCTAACATACAATTTGCATCAAAACACCAAAACTCAGATGCAAAAAAACCAAAATATGCAACAATGCAGTTTTGGGCGTTCGTCTTGCTGTAATCAATGAACTGAATCACGAGTTGCTGGACTGTCAAATAATGGATTTCAGCTGCTATTGAATATGCTGCGACTATACTAACGCTTTTTTTTTGTTACATATTTTTTATCTTTTCACATTTTATATAAATTTTACTTTTCTTTGAGCAAGTATTTTGTATTTTTATTTTCTATCTTATAACCCATATCTTCATGCAATACATTTGGCATACTGCAATTACTGTGGCCACATTTATTGTTGCTACACATTGTGCTATGGCTATTGCTATTGCTATTGCTTTTCCAGTTACTGTTGTTGGTTTCAATACAAATTTTCGATACTGTACATAAAATACTCGCGTTTAAAGCTTATCTCTTGTGTTCATTATTGATTATTATTGTAGCTGATGTTTCTATTATTTTACCGCCACACAATATATTCTTGGATATAAAGTTGACTTATCTTAAATTCGGAATTGCTGCATTCTACATATCTCTGCAACTATGTCAGAGTGCAACAAGTCTGCTTGGAGCTGTAGCCAGACTTTATACATAAATACTTCGTATTACTTGTGGCACATATTGCCAAAATATTGTCGATTATTTCAGTTGCTGAAAAATACTTTAGCGAATGTGGGCAGCAGCACATGGTTACCTATTAATATTGTTTAACCGAATTTACCTGTGGGTGGTAAACAAAAACAAAACTTGATAAACATAACATCAGTATAAAGCTCATTAAATGCTGAACCCCAACCCAATTTTTGTGGCAGCTAGGGAGTTAACCAAGCTAATAAACTAAATTTTAGTATTTATTTCAAATATTTTTATATGGTCGTTAACATACATAAAAATGGTTTTCAAGTATAAAAAAGCAGATAAACTCTCAAATTGGATTATTAGAACACTATATAAAGATAAGATAATAAAATTTATTACTATAAAAAAGAAATAAATAATGTATCTTATGCAAATTAGCCTTTCATTAACAGAAGTAAATAATGCAGATGCATATCAATATCTAATGTGTATGGGATCAAAGTCAGCAGACTTTTTCAAAAATAGGAAATTTCAACTTTTTCACTTTTTT